CTAGATGTTTCTTGATGTCAGAGACTAGATGTTTCTTGATGTCAGAGACAAGATGTTTCTTGATGTCAGAAACTAGATGTTTCTTGATGGCAGAGACTGTTTCTTGATGGCAGAGACTAGATGTTTCTTGATAGCAGAGACTAGATGTTTCTTGATGTCAGAGACTAGATGTTTCTTGATAGCAGAGACTAGATGTTTCTTGATGGCAGAGACTAGATGTTTCTTGATGTCAGAGACTAGTTGTTTCTTGACGTCAGAGACCAGCATCATAGCTTCTCTACTCTCACTCATCCAGACATAACCTGCCTGGTTTGGTTAGAAAGGGATTCATTGCTCACAGATTTCTCAGGAAATACCTCAGTCTCCTTTCGTAGATCACACAGGAAGGGCACACAAATATCTCAGTTCACTAACTCCGTGGTGCCAGCAAGGATCTCATAATTGTGTATCATAATCATGATCTCTGTGTTACCTCTCCCCATAAAGAAGATGGCTTGTAATCTGTGAGAAGTCAAGAATAAGGAATCTACAAACAGTTGCTAAGTGTTGGAGATCATAGCTTCAAAACAACAACAAAGCAGAAACAAATAAAGCCCATTCCTGTGTAGGTACGAGGCCCCATTGGGGGGAGGGGTAATACACCCACTCCCTCCTGGCAAGCATGTCATAAAAGGTGACTAATTAGAGTCTGATTAAATCAGATGTGTTGGGCTGAAAGGTGCAGATATCACAGCCTAGCTGAAAACTACAACATGGCATCTCAATCCCCTTTTAAAGGCAAACACCCAAAAAAAGTAAGAAAAAGACAAATAGCAAAAGTGTGACCAGTGGTCATATAGAGACAAAGGATAGTAGCATGCATGTCATAAGAGGCGACCAAGGATGGTTGGCATGGCACTAGCTACCTCAACCTGTAAATAATCTCAACAGCAAAATTGGACCAGCAGTGGACAAGTATACACACTTGGCACCAGTTAGCTGGGGGCCTATGCTCCATTGAAAGATAACAGATGAAGAAAGAAGAAGCTCAAGAAATATGCTTTCATTGGTTTCAAACATGTCACTGTTGATTTTTTCAAGATTTGTTGCCTGTGTGGGTTCCAGGGCCCCATTATGGGGGACAACGAGAGTAGACCCACTACCTCCCCATCAAGCATGTCCTAAGATTCAACTAATTGGGAGATTTTTTTTTTTTTAAATTGGAATACATTTGCCTCAGAGCCAAGGACCAAGACCAACAATCTGCATCCAGATAAGCTAGATCTGTGTTGCTTATGTGCATGCAACACTCAGGTTCTGGAACAAGACTAGAGTCTAAAGGTGGATGAACAACCAGAACTTTCCATCAGAGTTTACTGCCGGTGAATGTGAAGAAGAAGAACACAGGATATGTTATTATCATATGTTCTTGACTGTTTCAGTTGGCCATATAAAAATACCCACATACACCCTCACCCTTCCTAGTTTTATATTTGTACACTCCCTGATTGACATTATATATGTTTGCTTACACAATTACCCAGTTTTGTTTTGCTGCATTCTGGATTGCTTTTATGTCAAATTTACATTTCATCATCCTAAGTCGTGATTTTTTTCCTTTTTGTTTTGTTTTGGGAAGAGTGGAGATGTAACATCTCATTTTTGTCACAACTGATGTCAGTTATCATTTTTCTCACGGCTCATTTCAGTTATTATCGTTTGTCACAGCTCATCTCATTTATTATTGTTTGTCACAGCTCATTACAGTTATCATTGTTTGTCACAACTTATCTCACTTATCATTGTTTGTAACAGCTCATCTCAGTTATCATTGTTTGTCACGGCTCATCTCAGTTATCATTGTTTGTCACAGCTCATCTCAGTTATCATTTTATCACAGCTCATCTCAGGTATCATTGTTTGTCACAGCTCATCTCAGTTATCATTTTGTCACGGCTCATCTCAGTTATCAATGTTTGTCACAGCTCATCTCCGTTATCATTTTGTCACAGCTCATCTCAGTTATCGTTTTGTCACAGCTCATCTCAGTTATCATTTTATCACAGCTCATCTCAGTTATCATTGTTTGTCACAGCTCATCTCAGTTATCATTTTGTCACAGCTCATCTCAGTTATCATTGTTTGTCACACCTCATCTCAGTTATCATTGTTTGTCACAGCTCAGTTATCATTTTGTGACAGCTCATCTCAACTGCCATTATTCACTTTTTTCATCATCACCATGATCATTATTATAATGTATTCCCTTCGGGGCTTCATTTTGGAGAACAAAGAATCCACCCAGTGCCACCCTAACGTGGCATGTTGTAGGAGGTGACTATTTAGGAGTGTTTCCTTGAGTACATCTGCTTGAGAGGCAAGGAACCAACAGTCTGTACAAACAAGCCAGATCTGTAAAACAGATGAACATGCAAAAATAAAGTTGTGGATCAAGACCAAAGTCCAGGAGTGGATGAATAACCTGAACTGTTTGCCAGAGTCTACAGTCAGTGAATGCTAAAGAAGAAAAAGAAAAAGCTGAAAATCCTAATGTGTCATATCAATTAGTGTTAACAGTGATGGCTCACCATCTGGCACAATCACCAGTATCCAATAAGGTCTGTATCCTTGCCTCAATTATGGCACATCTCCAGATAAAGTCTGTATCCTTGCCTCAGTTATGGCACATCTCCAAATAAAGTCTGTATCCTTGCCTCAATCATGGCACATCACCGGATAAGGTCTGTATCCTTGCCTGAATTATGGCACATCTCCAGATAAAGTCTGTATCCTTGCCTGAATTATGGCACATCTCCAGATAAAGTCTGTATCCTTGCCTAAATTATGGCACATCTCCAGATAAAGTCTGTATCCTTGCCTAAATTATGGCACATCTCCAGATAAAGTCTGTATCCTTGCCTAAATTATGGCACATCTCCAGATAAAGTCTGTATCCTTGTCTCAGTTATGGCACATCTCCAGATAAAGTCTGTATCCTTGCCTAAATTATGGCACAGCACCGGATAAGGTCGGTATCCTTGCCTAAATTATGGCACATCTCCTGACCATTCAGGTATTTTTAACTTTGCCTTCCTCTTGCCCATTTCCTATCAGGTTTGGCAGTTATCATTTCACTTGTGTCTTATTATTTCAGCTCTTTCTCTACCAAGCTACTCCCCATACATTTATGTAGTCAAAGTACACTTTGCTATTTTCACAGCCAGTTATATTAACTCATTTTATTCATTGTGGTGTAGTGGTTAAACACTCATCTGCAACTCAAAAGGTTCAGACATCATTTATACATTATTTGTTTTCTTTTTTTTTTTTTTTTTTTTTTTTTGGAAAATTACCTTGGCTCTAAGGCAGATTCTTTTTTTTTTTTCATCGAACACCGGCTGTGAATTCCAGTGGAAGGTCCCGGTTAATCGTCCGCTTGGACTTTTGGCCTTCACCTGGACCTGATTTTTGCGTGTACAACCGTTTTTTATTTCCCTGCCTCTTGGGCAGCTGTACGCCGACTTCGAAGGAAGACGTCAGGCCTATTTCTAGGGTGACTGTGGCCATTGTTTTGTGTGGGTCGAGACTGCCTGATTTGTGTGGTGTCCGCCTTGTCTCGTTCGCCGCAGGTATTGCCCCCGGAGTACCCCTTTGGGGCAACCCCCTGTGGAACAGTTGGCCCTCAAGGGAAGGCAGGGGCAGATCATGGGCATTCCCCGCCATCCAAGGAGGCTTCCATGCATGCAGAGCCGGCACATGGCGCTCTGGTTCTGGGCTCACCCAAGGAATCGTCACGTCCTGCACATGCCTGCTTAACCTCACAACCGTATCAGGCCTCCCGCTCGACAGGGGCTGCGCCCTCTGGAAGTCAGCGGGGAGCAGCCCGTTGGTTTTGGACTTTTGTGACCACACAGATAGGTACATTAGCCCGGCAGAATTTCACATCCTGAATCAGGCATATCGTTATCAGTTTTGTCACAACACTCGGGCGAGTGGGGTCTTTGGGTGTGGACATTTAGCCTTTTGCATTGCGGTGCAAATTTTGATGGTCAGATTTTGATCCGTATGATCTAGTTTTGTCGGACATTTAGGCTTAGCCATCCGATGGATGGTTGCTGTTGTGGTGTACCACAGCGCGGTGACGACGACACTGAGGGTTAACCTAGGATGTACGTGGCTGGCCAGCCTATGGATGGTTGCTGTTGTGGTGCACCTCAGCGCGGTGACGACGACACGGAGGGCCAACCGAGGATGCACAAGGATGGCCAGCCCATGTATGGTTTCTGTTGTGTTGCACCTCAGCGCGATGACGACGACACTGAGAATTAACCGAGGATGAGCATTGAGCAATGTTCTCTTTACTCAGCAGTCTTTTAACCAAGGGTTGTGATTTTAGCTGTACTTTTGTCGAACCTACTCATGTTCCTAATGAGTTTTGATAACATTTTTCACCCAAGCGTTTGGGGGCGGGCTGATGAGAGCCACAAGGACACATCACCTCTGGGGGCCGCCAAACTCCGAGATCCCCTGACAGCTCTGTTAATGCTCATTTGAGACATTATCCGTGGCGCACGACGAGGACGTGCTGTAGGGGTCTTGCGTGAGGTTCCGTACAACCAGGATAGTAAAGGACTGGCGCCCGAGTGACGTACGGAGTATCTCCCTATACACATCATATTGGACTTAACTTCCCCTCACGCCTGTGACATAGATCACCGCGCCACTCTAAGGCAGATGAAATCTGGCAGATGAAATCTGCCTATCTGTCTTAGTTGTTGAGGCAACCACTTGATAACCTGTTTCTAGGATGACCACACAGAGAGGTGTAAATGTCTTGACCAGTATGAGTCCTGGGCCTGTTGCACCTTCAGCACCTGTACATCCCTGAATGTTTACCCTGACTCACCTTCTCTATGATAGCAACACCATGCCTAGTGTAGAGATTTCTGTGCCATTCATATTGATGTCATAGCATTTGAATCATGAATGACTGAATCTTCTGTGTTTTTCTCTGCCTGTAGGTAGTGCTACATTCCCATGCTGTCCCTCAGATCTCATTCATTTCTCGTGACCCAACTGATAGCCGAGCATTTGGTTACATCTGTGAAACAGAAGACGGCTTGCACAAATTCTTTGCTATTAAAACAGCCACAGCGGTAAGTTCAGCTGCTCTAGTAAGTCTGTATCATTGAAACCTCTTCTGTGTTGTATCTGTTTATGAGCAAATAAAGGAATCACATGATGGCTGAACCTGAAAGCTTGGCCAAACTGCAGGAACAGCCAGTCAGAAGGGAGCCAGACAACAACTCTATGTTGAAGCTAAAAAAAATAGTCAACCTGCTTTGAGCTGGTGTAGTCAGCCTCTCCACGCTATGGGATATATTCAGGAGAGGATCCAAACCTTTATGGAGGAATGGTGTGTTGTGCAGTTGGGATACACTGTTTACTAATCTGCTGGTAGAGATTACATCCTTCACTATCTCTTTCATTTTGGCCTAGGGCTTCATCGCAGTGCTTGCTTTCTCAATTGAACAGATTTTGTTTTCTTTTGTTTTCCTTTTTTTCTGTTGTTGTTTTTGTTTTCTTTTTAAATTAAGTAAACAGTTTAACTCTGCCTTTTTATGGTAAAAGATGAGTGCACTCTAGGCAAGCCTATTAGTGCTGTCTGTCGTAGCAGAATGTGCAGGGTGGGGATCTCCTGGTGAGGAGTTAGCTTGCTACACATCAGAACAATCCTTGGCTAGTTTACTGTGACCAGTTCTCTGTGACCACTTTACTGTGACTAGTTCTCTGACAGTCGGATTTGAGGGCATTCCTCAAGAAATAACTTTTCTTCTTCTTCGCCTTCACCGGCTGTAAACTCCGGTGGAAAGATTTGGTCATTTGTCCATATCTGGAATTGAGTCTTGTTCCAGAAACTGAGTATTGCACATCCATGTTACAGATCTGACTCATTTGTAAACAGACTGTTGGTTCCTTGTCTGTTACACAGATGCACTCTGATACCCAAGGAAGTCCCCCCTTAACCCTTACGACCTACTTACTGGGGAGACAGTGGGTGTAATCTTGTTTGCTCCACAATGGGGCCCAAGAACCATAAGCAGAAAGTGATAACTCAATGCACTAATTGATGATATGTCCAAATATTTGGGATCTGCACAGGCTGAACAAGTGGTTCTTGCTCTCAAAGATTTGTTTCAAGCTGTGCTAGAGGCCAAGAAGAAGGGGACGGAGCCTACCAAAGACAACATCGACACAGGGGAGACAAATGCTAGTGGGCAACAGGAAAATCAACAAACCTCCGAGAATGGCCAGGTATTTATAAAATGTTAGAAACAATGATGCCTCCATGATACATTGTCTTCTTCTTATAAGCATTCACTGGTTGTAAACTCCTGTGAAAAGTTCTGGTTGTTTATTGAACTCTGGACTTCGGTCTTATTCCAGCTGGCTTTTTTGTATGCAGAGTGTTGGTTCCTTGCCACTCAAGTAGATGCATTCCACCTTTGAAGGAAACATAGATCCTATCTGCTTGTAGGGAACCTGTTTTGAACATGACCATGAAGAGATCTTGACCAGTATCAGCTGTGGTCAACCACACGTTAGCTCCTCAACATCCCATAAAAGCAGTAATGTTGTAAAGCAGACTGGACCTAAAAGTGCCCATTTGGAAAAAAATTTCTGCCACTGATGAGTCACTGGGGTGGAGCGGCTTGGAGTTGTCACATCCATTCAAGCAGACCTGGTTCAGTTCATAGTTGTGTATTTGTACAGAATGAAAAAGGGATGATAAACGGATGCTTTATCCTGTATCAGTGGAATCTGCCTTTCCAGACAGGGGTGAGAAACTATGGGGATATGTGAACAGGTTTCCAACAAAAACAGTTCTTCAGCACATGGACCTCAGGTACAGAATTTTGAACAGCTCCCATGCCCAGGCTAAGTGTCAGAAATCAAAAAACATATCCACAGTAGAATATTTATAGCATATGTGATACCGTTAGAACTATATCTGGATGTTTGGCTGCGCTACAGCTCATGAACTGTGATAAGATGTTTCTTTGGTGATTTGTACGTGTAGATAATACGAGTAGGTCTTACGAGTCATGTTTCTTTGGTGATGCATACATGTAGATAACAGGAGTGGGTCTTATGAGTCATGTTTCTTTTGTGATTTGTACGTGTAGATAATGCTAGTGGGTTTTACTAGTCATGTTTCTTTGGTGATCTGTACGTTTAGATAATGCCAGTGGGTCTTACTAGTCATGTTTCTTTGGTGATGTGTACGTGTAGATAATGCCAGTGGGTCTTACTAGTCATGTTTCTTTGGTGATGTGTACGTGTAGATATGCCAGTGGGTTTTACTAGTCATATTTCTTTGGTGATGTGTACGTGTAGATAATGCCAGTGGGTTTACTAGTCATGTTTCTTTGGTGATGTGTACGTGTAGATAATGCTAGTGGGTTTTACTAGTCATATTTCTTTGGTGATGTGTACATGTAGATAATACCAGTGGGTTTGACTAGTCGTGCTCACCATTGCCATGGGCTGTGATTCTCATCACTCCATAAAGTAACACTGTGGTCTCCAAAGATGGAGGTGTTGTGTGGTACAGTAGACAACCATCAGTCGCTAGGGGCCAGGGAGCTTTGCCACTGGTTGTGAAAACAGTGTCTGCTATGACTGTAAGGTCCAGTGCTGGAATGGCAGTCCCACATCATCTACATAGTTTGCTGTTCTAATAGATTTATCCATTGGTGGTTTAAATGATCATTTACTGCAGGCGATCCAGGACAACACTGTCACTATATCAGTATACCCTTTACCACTTTACTACCTTACAGGAAGGCATCTGTAAGATCACTCGTGAACTGATTTCCACAGTTGTGGATCCATCCAAAATCACAAACTGTTTTTATCACTTTTGGCAAATTATTATGATCACAATGTTTAAACAATACCTAGTGGTCCTTATGACGTTAAGTAACTGAGAGTTGTGGCAACTTAGTCCGGGACATGCCTGGCCACAATAAGGATGAGTAATAGACAGAGCAGACACAGGACCAAACTAAAGGACACAGGGGCACAACATGAACTCTTTGACTCCCAGGGGGTTTAGCATCACAGGCCCAGAGGGTAGTCAAGAAAGTCATAAAATTGGCGCATCATGCGTTTATTGGGCTTCTAGGTAGGAACCTTTGAACGTATGATGCGCTCCTTGGGACTCAAAGAGTTAAGGAGACTACTCAACAGAAGATAGATAATCCACGAGGCAAAACCATCAGGAAGCTATGGATAATAAAATTACAGACAGGAAGGAGCGGACAATCTGTTTGATTAGGGACACAAAGCCATTAACCTGGCACACATACCACAATCTTGGCAAAACATTTGGCACAAATACGCCAAACCATAAATATAACCAGAGTCTGCTGGCAACTGCTAGTACAGAGGTTTACAGCCAGAAGTGTGTTGACTGGATGTTGTCTAGCAGTGATGCTCATCAGTTTGTGGTATATTGTCTCCCGTCTCCCTACATGTAGCAGTGATGTTCATCAGTTTGTGGGATATTGTCTCCCTCTGTCTCCCTACATGTAGCAGTGATGTTCATCAGTTTGTGATATATTGTCTCCCATCTCCCTACATGTAGCAGTGATGCTCATCAGTTTGTGATATATTGTCTCCCTCTGTCTCCCTACATGTAGCAGTGATGTTCATCAGTTTGTGATATATTGTCTCCCGTCTCCCTACATGTAGCAGTGATGCTCATCAGTTTGTGATATATTGTCTCCCTCTGTCTCCCTACATGTAGCAGTGATGTTCATCAGTTTGTGGTATATTGTCTCCCTCTGTCTCCCTACATGTAGCAGTGATGTTCATCAGTTTGTGGTATATCGTCTCCCGTCTCCCTACATGTAGCAGTGATGCTCATCAATTTGTGATATATTGTCTCCCTCTGTCTCCCTACATGTAGCAGTGATGCTCATCAGTTTGTGGTCTCCCTCTGTCTCCCTACATGTAGCAGTGATGTTCATCAGTTTGTGGTATATTGTCTCCCGTCTCCCTATATGTAGCAGTGATGCTCATCAGTTTGTGGTCTCCCTCTGTCTACCTACATGTAGCAGTGATGCTCATCAGTTTGTGGTCTCCCTCTGTCTCCCTACATGTAGCAGTGATGCTCATCAGTTTGTGATATATTGTCTCCCTCTGTCTCCCTAAATGTAGAAGTGATGCTTATCAGTTTGTGATATATTGTCTCCCTCTGTCTCCCTACATGTAGCAGTGATGTTCATCAGTTTGTGGTATATTGTCTCCCTCTGTCTCCCTACATGTAGCAGTGATGCTCATCAGTTTGTGATATATTGTCTCCCTCTGTCTCCCTACATGTAGCAGTGATGTTCATCAGTTTGTGGTCTCCCTCTGTCTCCCTACATGTAGCAGTGATGTTCATCAGTTTGTGGTCTCCCTCTGTCTCCCTACATGTAGCAGTGATGCTCATCAGTTTGTGGTCTCCCTCTGTCTCCCTACATGTAGCAGTGATGTTCATCAGTTTGTGGTATATCGTCTCCTGTCTCCCTACATGTAGCAGTGATGCTCATCAATTTGTGATATATTGTCTCCCTCTGTCTCCCTACATGTAGCAGTGATGCTCATCAGTTTGTGGTCTCCCTCTGTCTCCCTACATGTAGCAGTGATGTTCATCAGTTTGTGGTATATTGTCTCCCGTCTCCCTATATGTAGCAGTGATGCTCATCAATTTGTGATATATTGTCTCCCTCTGTCTCCCTACATGTAGCAGTGATGCTCATCAGTTTGTGGTCTCCCTCTGTCTACCTACATGTAGCAGTGATGCTCATCAGTTTGTGGTCTCCCTCTGTCTCCCTACATGTAGCAGTGATGCTCATCAGTTTGTGATATATTGTCTCCCTCTGTCTCCCTAAATGTAGAAGTGATGCTTATCAGTTTGTGATATATTGTCTCCCTCTGTCTCCCTACATGTAGCAGTGATGTTCATCAGTTTGTGGTATATTGTCTCCCTCTGTCTCCCTACATGTAGCAGTGATGCTCATCAGTTTGTGATATATTGTCTCCCTCTGTCTCCCTACATGTAGCAGTGATGTTCATCAGTTTGTGGTCTCCCTCTATCTCCCTACATGTAGCAGTGATGTTCATCAGTTTGTGGTCTTCCTCTGTCTCCCTACATGTAGCAGTGATGTTCATCAGTTTGTGGTCTCCCTCTGTCTCCCTACATGTAGCAGTGATGCTCATCAGTTTGTGGTCTCCCTCTGTCTCCCTACATGTAGCAGTGATGTTCATCAGTTTGTGGTATATCGTCTCCTGTCTCCCTACATGTAGCAGTGATGCTCATCAATTTGTGATATATTGTCTCCCTCTGTCTCCCTACATGTAGCAGTGATGCTCATCAGTTTGTGGTCTCCCTCTGTCTCCCTACATGTAGCAGTGATGCTCATCAGTTTGTGGTATATTGTCTCCCTCTGTCTCCCTACATGTAGCAGTGATGCTCATCAGTTTGTGGTCTCCCTCTGTCTCCCTACATGTAGCAGTGATGCTCATCAGTTTGTGGTCTCCCTCTGTCTCCCTACATGTAGCAGTGATGTTCATCAGTTTGTGGTATATTGTCTCCCTCTGTCTCCCTACATGTAGCAGTGATGCTCATCAATTTGTGATATATTGTCTCCCTCTGTCTCCCTACATGTAGCAGTGATGTTCATCAGTTTGTGGTATATTGTCTCCCTCTGTCTCCCTACATGTAGCAGTGATGTTCATCAGTTTGTGATATATTGTCTCCCTCTGTCTCCCTACATGTAGCAGTGATGTTCATCAGTTTGTGGTCTCCCTCTGTCTCCCTACATGTAGCAGTGATGTTCATCAGTTTGTGATATATTGTCTCCCTCTGTCTCCCTACATGTAGCAGTGATGCTCATCAGTTTGTGGTATATTGTCTCCCTCTGTCTCCCTACATGTAGCAGTGATGTTCATCAGTTTGTGATATATTGTCTCCCTCTGTCTCCCTACATGTAGCAGTGATGTTCATCAGTTTGTGATATATTGTCTCCCTCTGTCTCCCTACATGTAGCAGTGATGTTCATCAGTTTGTGGTATATTGACTCCCTCTGTCTCCCTACATGTAGCAGTGATGTTCATCAGTTTGTGATATATTGTCTTCCTACATGTAGCAGTGATGTTCATCAGTTTGTGGTATATTGTCTCCCTCTGTCTCCCTACATGTAGCAGTGATGTTCATCAGTTATGTAGCAGTGATGTTCATCAGTTTGTGGTATATTGTCTCCCTCTGTCTCCCTACATGTAGCAGTGATGTTCATCAGTTTGTGATATATTGTCTCCCTCTGTCTCCCTACATGTAGCAGTGATGTTCATCAGTTTGTGGTCTGCCTCTGTCTCCCTACATGTAGCAGTGATGCTCATCAGTTTGTGGTCTGCCTCCGTCTCCCTACATGTAGCAGTGATGCTCATCAGTTTGTGGTCTCCCTCTGTCTCCCTACATGTAGCAGTGATGACTTTGTTTCTTTGACAGGCTTCCCCTGGTTCTCCGGCTGCTGATGCACAACAAGTGGATCAGGTATTTGCATGCAGCAAACATCCTGCCTTTGTCACCTATCAACTCTCTGTTTCTCTCTTTCTTAGTTATTATCTCTCACACACACACACACACACACACACACACACACACACACACACACACACACACTCACACACACATAATAATAATTGTGTAAAGTCAATGGAAATAAAGCCAGGGCATGCAAAAAAAGATAGACCAAAAATCACTGGGAGAAGGGAGCTAGTTGAGCTGGATGAGCTACAAGTGATAGCAAAAGATAAGGGGACTGTGTGTCAGCTGGTTGAAGACCTGTACACACCAACAAAAATAAGAAGAGACTGAGCACAAATGGTTGTGTCCCAAGTTTAGTGTAGTCAGTTCTGGTGAATCATTTTTGGTTAAGTTAGTGCTTCATATTTAACAGTGGCATAAATTTTTGAAAGATTTGTTTTTTTAAATATAAATGATAATTCCGACCAGGCAGACAGATTCATGTTAACATACCAGATTGTGTCATGTTTGTCCAGGCGGTTGCTGCCAGTGCTGATTCAACAAGTCCAGCAGTGAACACTCAGTCTGTGGCAAACTTGTTTGATTTTGAAGACCAGTCTGGCAGTGTTGTTCAGGTGAGTGCACACAGCTTATGTTAACAGTCATACCTACAGCTGCACATGATGAGGATAAACAAGTCAGGTAAAAACAGTGGCACCTCAATATGTGTACTTAATCCATTCCTGATCCCTGAACGTATACCAAACCGTACTATACCAAACAGTACTATACCAAACTGTACTGTACCAAACAGTACTATACCAAACAGTACTGTACCAAAGAGTACTATACCAAACAGTACTATACCAAACAGTACTGTACAAAACCGTACTGTACCAAACTGTACTATACCAAACAGCACTATACCAAACAGTACTATACCAAACACATTTTTCCAAATAAATTAAAGGGACAAAGATTAATTAATTCCCATGATTAATGTGCAGCCCAATCTGGCTCTTAATGATGACAGCCATTTAACAGGTACGCAGTGAAGATCTCTCACCAGCAGGATGTTGCGAAACAGTTTGACTCTGACGATGTGCAAACTGTCTAAAATGGCAGTATTGTGTCTGAAATAACTGCTTGTATCAGAGTGAAATATCATGTTACTGAGATCGAAGCACTAATTTTGAGTGATATTGTGACAAACATCTAGTATAGACAATTCTATACACCACATAATAATGGTCTGGTCTATGTTATTATGACAGTGCTTGTACTTTTTATGTGAGGTGCTCACGCCCTTCTGATAGTGCTGTAACTTAGTAAATGTGAAATTCTCGACAGCCGTGTCTGTATTGCTTTATCATTTACATGAATAATCCAGGGAAGTCAGAAGACAAGAAGTCTTGAGCTGGAGTTTCTAACTGATGAGGTGCCTCCATCAACATCCTCATCGGCAACCTCTCCACTGAAGTCAGTAACCCCCTCGGCAACTGTTGCCGCAACCAGTACTGACCCCTGGGGACTTGCTGCGGTGGAAACCTCAGCCGGTAAAGGTCAGTATGGCTTTATAAGTAAACGATCCATGTCCCCACCTTAAAGCTTCTTGGTCTATGCCCCCTCATTTTATGGACCGTTGGCACTTGATAGCTGGGGGGGCAGTTTCATGTTGGCTGTCTCTACATACTATGATTTTTGTTAATAAATTCACTAAGCAAGAACTTTGACTGTCAAGAAGACCAGAAATACATCCTAAAATATCTCAACATCGAGGAAGATTGGCTAGTAAACCGTACCTTGTCTTGGAAATCCTGTCTTGTCTTTTGGCCATATCAAGCATCATGAAGGATTGGAAAGAATATTAATTAGCACATGGCGTGGTACCAGGAAAGAGGAGCAGGGACTGACCAGCTTGAAGATGGGTACAGGATATAAGTGACACCTGATACATGAATGAATGAGATCGGCACTTGATGGCTAATGTGATCAGCATCGTGTGGGTTGTCTCCCCAAGTGCTTCCCAGTGTGGAAAAAACAAGAATAGATCCACTGCCTACCCAGAAGCAGGTTGTATGAGTTGACTAATAGGGAGCTTCCTTTGAAGTTGAAAGATGCCTGCCTGAGAGGCAAAGAACCAGCAGTGTGTGTACACATGAGTCAGATCTGTAGAACTTGTGTGCACACCACACTCAAGTCCTGGAACAGGACCGGAGTCCAGAAATGGACGAACTACGAGAACTTTCCGCTGGAGTTTACAACCTTTGAATACTAAGAAGAAAGAAGAATTAGGCTGTCTTTTCATCTTGTTTAAAAAAAATTAATTCACTAAACACAAACTATAACTAGTAAGCTTAGCAGGGGGGAAGGTTAAAACATACACAGAACCAACTAATTTGACCAGAATCTTTATCGACAAATAAAACTAGAAAAATAATTTGTGGGCTTGGTTGAGCAGATTCGGTTCTGTGACAGTGTTGTAAATGTCACTGTGGCTTTTCTTCTTATGTGTTCACACATATACTGTGGTTGGCACATTTTGCTGTGGTTTACAACATGGCTGCAGTAACTGTGCCTTTCGGCCCAACACACCCTAATTAGTTGCCTGTTATGACATGCTTGTTTTGATGGGGGGGGGGGGGAATGGGTGTATTCTTTTATTTCTCCATAATGGGGCCCCGGAACCCACACAGGGTGGACAGCACAGTACTGGAGGCATGGTTCCTGTCAGATGAATATTTTTTAGCGAGCTTTGATGTATAATGATGGTGATTCTGGAGACCCCATTGACACCTGAAATCCTCAGTCTTTTCATTTCTGCATATTTCATGTATACTCTTGTGCTCTGGTCTGGTTTCTTCATTTTATTTCCTCACTTTATTTTCCTTGGAACTGTTGTTGGTACGGAGCTGGTAAATTTGCATGATCACCCAGCATTATACTTGCATTATCTTCTATGTTATTTATAAATGTAAAAAAAGGAGGCCTAGTTCAGTGGACAGTCTATTGCATGCTTTCCTGAACGTCTTGGGTTCAAACCTGCATCAAGTTGAATTTTGTATAATAGATGCATACTCTGAGGTTGACTCAGCCAATTTATACCAGGCAATGTCTTGGGAAGTAAAAGCAGCTGCCATGCTATTGGAGTGCTTGGGACACAAGAAACCAACAGTCTGCATACAGATAAGCTAGATGTATAAAACGTATGTGCATACAGAACTTTCCACCAGAGTTTACAGCTGGTGAATGTCAAGAAAAAGAAAAAAAAAAAGAGTACATTAGTAATGTTGAGAAGAATATATGTGTGTCATTTCCACATGATGGATGTTGACAAGAACTGATGTTCTGTCCCCAGCACCACCTACAAACACTTCGGCTCTGGATGACTTGGCTGGAATTCAGACCAGCTTCTCTTCCAGTTTCTCTTTGCAGCCTGGGTTTGGTACTTCAGCCAGTTTTGTAAGTTGTATGCTGGTCTAGTGTGTTTGGCTTGTGTAGATAGAACTGGACAGTGGGAACACTGACCCACTCTTGAGTGTGTCCTGGGCTGTGTCGAGGATCTAGATCCATGTGATATGGGTCTTGACTCTGGGGGGCACAAACAGAACTCTTCAGTGTCATGTCACTTTGCTGTGAGTTTGGATGGAACAATGTATGTTATGTTAACAGTCATTAGTTTGAGCTGATACTCCTCCACTCCCTTCTTGTTCTTCTCCTCCTTTTTCATGTTCTTCTTCTCCTCTCTATTTTGTTCTTTCCCTCCACCTCCTATTTCTTTGTTGAGGACTTTGCCTAATACTTTACTCCTCCTTGTCTTCTTCTTCTTCTTCGCGTTCACCAGCTGTACACTCTGGCGGAAAGTTCTGGTTGCTCGTCCACTACTGAACTGCAGTCCTGCTCCAGAACCTGAGTGTTGCGTGTGCATCAGTTTTACAGATCTCATTCTCTTGAATACAGACTGTTGGTTCCTTCCCTCTCCGGCGGATGCATTCCGACTTCAAAGGAAGCTCCCCAATTAGTCGACTCTTACGACATGCTTTTGGGGAGGCAGTGGGTCTATTCTTGTTTTCCCCACAATGAGGCCCCGGAACCCACACGGAGGTACTCCTCCCTGTGTTTTTACTTACTTGCTTACTTAGTCACTCCTCTACCACCTTGGGGTGTAGATGTTTGCCAGAGAGATGGCCAGACTTCTCTGTCAACTGTTGTCTTTTTGGCTTTGTTCTAATCCAGTCCTCTGTCTTCCCAGCGATCACTGGGTCGTCCGGTGCCCTGGTTTTTGGCCTCCCATGCCTGCCTTGGTTGCTGATCCTCTCCCATTCTGCATACATGTCCAAACCATCATAACTGTGACTGATCCATTTGAGTTCGTAAGGCCTGGGTTTAAAGATCATGATGTATTGTCTGATTGCAAACTGATCCCTTCTTGTCACTTAGACTGCCTTTCTCAGATACCTGTTGCTGGGGCCTAAAGCTAGCTTCTGTGAGCTGTTGTCATTGCCCATGTTGCTCTGTGGGTTCCCTAGGAAATACTTCCTATTCTGCTATATACAAAATGTCCACTGTACCCTAACCTTTTGTCAAACATGTTGATTATCTAGTTTGGCTGAACAACATTAAGATGATACATTTGCCATTTGTTTTTTCAGAACCCAGCTTTATCAGCAGCTAAGGACCCATTTGGCAATGCTACTTTTAGTCCCTTTGCTAACCAGCCACCCAATCCTGGAGTGCCAGGTTCTCAGCAACAATCATTTCCTGCTGGTTTTACCCTCACAAATCCTTTTGGATCAGAATTTCACCAGCCTTTTGGGATGCAAGGAGTTCCTCCCCGACCGGGTTCCGTGGAAGCCTACAACATGTTCCCAGGGGTCATCCCCCATGGGGTCACAACTCCACTAGCCATGGGAGGTGGTCATAATCCATTTGCTGCCCAACAGAATTCAGGTCTTCAGTCCGGGAACCCATTCGGAGATAGTGGCCCTAATAAAAAAGATTCTGCGGCAGATTCAAGCGTGGTAAGTCCTGACGTGCTCAATGCCAGGGCCAAGTCTCCTCATGATGATTTTTTCAGTGATCTGCTGGATATTAAAAAGTCCAGTCCTGCCAGAGCTAAGTCCCCAAGAGACATGTTTGCTCAGAATGCTTCAGCAGACAAGAAGTCCCTGAATGATTTGGTAGGAGCATCTCCTAGAGCCTCACCTGTGCCAGCTGCATTGCTCAAACCTGGGACATCACCTCGAGCCTCACCTGTGCCACCTGCATTGCTCAAACCTGGGACCTCTCCTAGAGGCTCACCCGTTCCAATGGTTCCGAATATCTCAGCCTCAGCCCTCCTGCTAGCTCAGAATGCACCGTTGCTGTCTCCTCAAGCTTCATCAGTACCAGTCCTGCAGGACGCTCCTACACAGGTAAATGATTGCTTTTCTCTGCTCACACATGTTTCTGTTGCTTTCATCAGTCCCAGTCCTGCAGGACGCTCCTACACAGGTAAATGATTGCTTTTCTCTGCTCACACATGTTTCTGCTGCTAATTGCTCATCTTCTCCTTTTACTTCTTCACATACTTTCTGGCATCAGCCTGAATATATTTAGAAAAATAGCAGTCAGCTTAAGTTTGCTGACGTCTACAGTTTGTCCTTCAATAAAGGGATATATTTGAGTAGTCATCTCTGACTTGTAGAATTCGGACACTCTTGCAGCAAACTATCCGTAATTTTAACAGTTACATCCATCAGTATCTGCTGTCCTGTAAGAAAGTCATAAGATAGTCACTTGTTCTCATCATTTGTCTTAGTCTGCTTCTTCTTCAGATTCACCATCTGTGAACATGCGGAAAGTTCAGGCTGTTCACCCACTTCTGGACTCTGGACTTCAATCTTGTTTCAGTACTTGAGTTTTGTTTTGCAGATGCATTCTGACTTCAAAATAAACACCTCTGATTGGTCGCCTTTTATGACCTGCTTATTAAGGAGACAGCTGGTCTGTTTCGTGGGTCTCTTTTTTTTTCTTCCACAATGGGGCCCCGGATTCTACGTATACGGACAATTAGTCTTAGTAAAAAGCATCATCTTTCTAGTGGGTGGAGGCTCTGATTGCTGGTCCCAGCCAAACCACGCTATATATATAATCCATTCCTGCTGGAACCACAATTTTGAATTAGTGTTCTTCTAAAATGGATGCATGTTAACTCAGTTTTACTATATTTATACACTATAATAAGTTCTTAAGTATGACTATTAAAAAAACTGCAGGTCAGGGCAGACTTTCTGGATTTCTCTGTAGGTTTTATTAGCTAAGTGGAAATCACTGGAATAAGTTAACTAGGATAGGGTTCATCACTGGCTCTTCTTGTTATAAAGTTTATGTTTGACTCATGGACAGTGTACCGGCTGTGGGAAATGTGTGTCAGGTTTATCACTTTCCATTGTGAGGTTAATCAGTTTTACACAGTCATGTTTATCAGTTTGTACAGTGAGGTTTATCAGTTTTGCTCAGTCAGCTTTATCTTTTTACACATTGAGTTTATTAGTTTGCACAGTGAGGTTTATCATTTTGCACTATAAGGTTATCAGTTTGTACAGTGAGGTTTATCAATAGTGAGGTTTATCAATTTGCAGTGAGGTTATCAGTTTGCACAGTCAGGTTTATCATTTTGCACTATGAGGTTATCAGTTTGTACAGTGAGGTTTATCATTTTGCAGTCAGGTTTATCATTTTGCACTATGAGGTTTATCAGTTTGTACAGTGAGGTTTATCAGTTTGTACAGTGAGGTTTATCACTTTGCACAGTGAGGTTTGTCTGTTTACAGTGTCAGGTTTATGATGCTGAATTTACCACAGTGACGTTTATTATATGTTGCTGTTTTCTCTCCAGGATTCACTTTTTGATGATTTCTTTGGCAGTCCAACAGAACATCAGGTAAGTACGTATTTCTAATTTACATAAAACATACCTTGCAGAAGCCTGCATTTACTCCTTGTTATCGTACAACTGTTTTTTGTTGTCATACATTTGTTCACTAAACTAATACATTGAAAATGAAGCTGCAGCTGTTAATACACTTTGTTGTTTGGTTAAAGAAAAAGGTTGTGTTTGATTGTGATTGTGTTTTGTTTCTGTCAGTCCTTCAAAATGCCTTTGCAGTCTGTACCCTCCAGTACATTGGGCAGGAAAGCTCTTTGATTTCCTGCCACTTCCCCTCTTTATATTTCTGAGCTTGGAGGAAGGACTGAGAGATCTGCAGCATAGGCTCCACAGAGAAGGGACTGTGGTCCTGAGTGAGTTTCATATCCAGTGTTTCGGCAGTGTCTTGTATTCACCTTCACCGAGATGAGTCTCTGCCTCATTTCCCAAAACTGCACCTCTCATCACCGTTCTCTCCAAGCCACCGTGACATTTAGCATGGTATGAATACACTAACTTTCAGGACAGGATGCTGTTTATAAGCCAATTCTCCTCAATGTTCAAATCATGAACGATGTCTGTGTTTCTTGGTCCACGATATTCTAAGAGTCCATGACTGACAACCATAACTTGCCATGGAAAAGATGCCTGATCTCAGTATTTTTATTGTAACCTGCATCCAGTTGCTGTGCCTTAAGTTCTTCATGCTGTTTAACCTCTGCGTTGCTAAAGCCAGTCTTCTTTTGTGCAGTTGTCATTATTGTTCATTGTTGAGCCCAAATATTCAAAATCTGTGACATTTTCAATCTCTTCATTATCTATTTTATAAAGTTGGTGTGCTGTTGTCATTATGGACATTTTTTTTTTTCAAGTTCAGAAAAACAAAATTCTTTTCTTTACTCTACTTTTTGACATTCAGAATTGATTGTCCAAAGCCCTCTACCCTGTTTGGTATGTAAAAGGAAATTATATAATGTGGAGAGGCCAGTGCTAGTCAGCAAGACATGACGGTGATAACAGATGTTAAATAATCATTAACCTAAATACATATATAATTTTTATTTCTAATTATGTTGGTCTTGCCAATGATATTTATACATATTTGTTTCTTCTTGTATTGCAGGTTGCTGAGAAGTCACTGTTCGGCTAATTGTTATTTTTCTTATGTATGCACACATGCGCACATACACAAATGCCATAATTATTTCAATGTTTCATTCTGTGTAACGTGTTGTCCATAGCCACGATTCTTTTATCATATACCCTACATTGGTACATATTCCTTTCTTTTCGTCTTCTGTCATGTACATTAGAGAATGATACGCAAATCTGGCCCCAAAAATACTAATTTAAGCATAATATTTAAGGAAGATGGGGGCTTCACTGAAATATCAGAAGACTGAAGTGTCATGATTGCCAGTTTATATCCCTGACATGTCAGTTTGTCACTACACTGAACGATATACAGTGTCTTCAGTTTATGTTGCTTATATTTCACATCCTGAGAGCTATGCCAGCAGTGGCATACAAACAAATGAATGAACTTTATTTTCAGAGGGATGAGAATTGGGCACACAGGCCTGTCTTACATTCTGCCTTTCTAGCCTGACTGTGTGCACTGCTACTAGCAGGGCCTGCCAAACTGAACAGGTGGGCAGTCATAGAGATAAAAGGAGGCAGTGATATCTGCAGCAATGTTTTATGTTCAAGTGGTGTTGTCAGTAAGCATGGCTGCGGTCGAGCTGGTGCTCGTGCCTACTGTAGGACTGCAGGTGACACTAGGCTAGCGGAACTGTGCCCTAGTTTTAACTTCACTGAAGGTTGAATGGGGGTGTCTGGAATCTCCCTTTAGGCCTGTTTTCCAGCGTGAGGTTTTCTAATCTCTGGGTGGTCTGGTAAACCTGTGGGTAGCAGCACGGAGGGACAAACCAGATCAGTTGATTGACAGCTGATACTGAGAAATGAATAAACACAACACAAAATATGGCTTCGAACTCAACCTTGAGCTTAATGTATTACATATATGTGTTGTCTTCATTCATTATGTTTTATGCTCAGCTGCTTATCATGTTTGGTTGGGTTATTTTGTCTCTGATCATCTCATTGCAGTTTATTTCTCATAGTAATACTTGTATCAGTTCTCTATATGTTACTCCTTCCATATACCATTAGTTTTCCCACATGGTTATTCTCTTATTTATATTTAAGTGCATCAAGAACTAGAAGTAATTGTATGAGGGGGCTAGCATGCTGGCCTGTTGACATGGTAGTGGTGTGTTCAAATCCCCAGCAAGGTGTGGTAATATTTTTACCAGGAAGTGATCTTGGAAGCAAAGTTGTCAGTTGGTCTGTACATTTATGGGGCTAGTGTTGCATGTAGCCAGCTTGCCTACCAGCCAAGTTATCATAGGTTTGAATCCCCACCTAAACAGTTTGTAAACATTACCAGGTCAACCCTGCCTAAAATGGAGACATTAGAAAATGTTTAGGGAGGTAAATATTTCCAGTCAGTGTTGAATGGTCTGTACAAATCTAGAACAAGTACACACGACACCACCAGCCCAGGAAAACGGTTCTGTATGTCTGTTGAGTTCTGCAACTTATTGGCTGAAATGTGTGTTGCTGTTTGAAGGGAACCATGTCTAACCCCACAGTGGTGTGTCAGCGAGAGGCTTGTCTGTGGCCTTAAAGTCTTAAGTTTGAATTTGCATGTGAGTTTTTTGTTTCAGATATGATTTGGCTATCACCAGCCTAAAATTACTTGGTTTACCAGGTAAAAAGTCGGCTCTGTGGCTAAGTCGATGCGAACGCTTTGTAATGCTGGGATGCTGGGTTCGATCCCAGCTGCGGGCCATGGGCCTTGCGTTGGTTTCGACAGTGGTATCAAGAAGGCCGCCCAGAAAGCAATGGCAAACTACTGGACGTAAATTTGCCTAGAAAAACCATACAACATGGTTCTGCAACATCCTGTAAAGGATACACAACTAACCTTACCAGGTAAAAGTCCTGGGAAATAAAGATGGCTGGTGTGATGTTGACCTCATCGAGTGATGATTGGTCTACAAAAATGTGCCTAGCTTCATTTTCCCTACCCATCAGAGGTGTAATGAGGGTCATGTACGCTTATTTTTAATATTTGAACATTTCTGGAATTGTCCAGTTAGACTGTAACTCATCAGCAGATATAATAAAACACAGTGTATGGTCCATTCTAGTTAAATTATTGTGCTAGTTTAGATGTGTGAATGGTGAATGTGTGAATGATGAATGTGTGTTGTTTGCAATAGCTGAAGTCTAGAAGCTTCAGCTAAAAACTGGGTGAACAGAGAAGTGGGTCAGTGTGTCCAAGCAACAATCAGATATGTTGGGTTCTAATCACACTGGGCCAGGAGTGAAGGCACTGACCAGAAAGTCCTGCAACACCAGAAACTCCACCAGATTTATGACAATTCCCACTCAGGTGATGTGATTATCTATACAGATGGCTCAGTGTTGAAAGGCAGAAACAGTACATGGGGTTCATAGCAAAAAGCAAATGGGTCCTTAGTGCAAAAAAAAGCCATGTATGTGATATGACAACATATAGTTTGAGAATGGAGGCAGTTGCACCACTCACATGTTGTGATGGTAACTGGCTCACAAAGCATATTGAGAAAGGTGTTATGGCCCGTGCAGGGTGGCAAGCATTGCTTCAGAGGTCCCAGGTAGCATCCTTTGGGTATTTTCCCAAGGGGATGCAGGTGATCTGGAAAATGAACAGGCAGACAGACTTGCTGGTTCTAGATCGCTTGAAACTGACGCATGAAGTTTTATGTTGTCAAAGCACTTTGGGACAGTCTGAAAAGAATGGTGCAGAGGATTTTTTCGACACCCAAATCTCAGGGAAAAGACCAAACAGACATAAATCAAGGCTGCCACTTGTACTGTTGGAATTGGAACTCTGTAAATTTCTGAGTCAACTCTATGAGGTTTAACACCTACATCATCATCATGTGCCGTGCTGACTGGCATAGACGTTCAGGAATCTCCACAGATCTGTCCCTTGTTCTTTGGATCAGTTCCACTGATGATATCCCTCCATCGCAATCCGTCTGTCATCATCTCTCTTGGTCTGCCTCTCCCTCTACTACCGTTGATCTTCCCAGTCATTAAAACATTCTCCATAGCCTCCCCGCCTCATCACACGACCACATAAGAGTGCTTTGTCTTTTCCTTACAGCTATTGATGTGGGCTGCTCTACTTTAAATAACGGTCGCTAGCTGGAAGGCGACGGCCGCTTAGTCGGAGTTCACTCCCTTGGCTGCAGTGCAATTACGGAGCGGACAAGTCACGAATCAAAAAACAAAGTGAGGTCGACATGCCTGCTAGAGCTAGACCACGCGCTGCTGACAGTAGCGACCGCGGTCATGCGACGCAAGACTCTCGTAGACCACGCGCTGCGACTCACGACTAAGTGACTGTAGATGTGAGACCTGCGGATCTGTAATGAGCGATGTTTCCTTCATTTCCGTGAACCCTACCCCAAATCATAACCCAAACCGTAAGCCTAACCCTAGGATGACAGGTAACTATATCATTTATTTCGTTCCCTCTTTATCACTCCATATTTGCACAGCTGTATATATTGATCTAACACCTAATAGCATTTAAAAGCAGGTTTCTCATGGGTAAATCAGGGTTTCAAAGTAAAAATAACCCCCTGAATGCAACGTTACAGTGTTTGACTACCTCGTGAAAAATGGACTGAAAATGTAATGCAGAAGTTGGAACATTAAAAAGTTAAAGAGGACTTGTTCCACATTTTTAGGCATATAGGGATAGACCTATATTTTATAGAATAACTTGGTGGGAGTTGAAATATTACAGAAGTTAAATATAGACAAGCCAGAGCAAAAACACTAATTTGACAGGAGAAGGAATATTCCAAGAAACCATCTTTGTCAACTGATGTGAGTGGGTGCTCTAGAGTTATACATAACCCATCCTGATGCACGGATGTCAATCAATCAAGGACAGTCAGCAGATTAGTCACCATGTCCTCAAGCTTTAGAGGTGTGGGTTTACATAAGACTGATGAGAACACTGTATATATAAAAAGTGTAATCAAGTTGTCAAGAACTGAAGACCTACATTAAAAGCATAACTCCTCATTCTTGGGCATGCCATTAGAAGGTAGAAACTGGAGTGCGTAATCATGAAATCAGCAGAGTTTGAGGGAAAGGGAGACATAATTAACCCTTTGGAGGTTAAAAAAAAAAAGCCCAAAACCTGCAAGAACATGCCACTAAGAAATCTACATTTCTAAAGCAAAATTTCACAAATATATGAAGAGAAGACAACACCATAATTGACCAAGTTGGCTGGATCATCACTCAACACATTGGCAACTGAATCTCTTTAAACAGAGAAAAGACAATGCAATCATATGGACATGTAACGAAATCTAGCAGCCTCTCCAAAATAATACTTCAGGGCTCTGTAAAGCGGAAGAGCTACAGAAAGAAAGAATTTAGCTGAATGGACATGGCATCAGACCTACAGTGGTAGAGCGAGCTGGTCACACTCAGCAGCAGCTGGTGACCCAACATGCTCAGTTATGAAACTATGACGATGGTCTAGGAGAAATCAAATGGGAACAGTTCCTTGTAGCTATTTTGTTATTTAAATAATATGGGTGACCTGGAATAACAAAGGCTAAAAGAGAATCATCACAGGAATACAAATCAACTCTCCCCCCCCCCCCCAATCTAGTGCTACTGTTAGCAAATATAATCATCACACCACCCAACCCTCCTAAGCACTGTGCAGGTGCTAACAGTACCAATGCCATTAACAAGGCTTGTTACTGTAGCAATGCCAGTTGAGCGACTTCTCAGGGATTTTAAAAAGGCTCAGAAATAGGATAATTATATTTGGTCATTATAACAAGGCTAAAGGAATTATACCTTCCTAAAAGAAGGAGACATGTAGTCTGTACTGAGAGAAGTGTTTCACTAGCTGGCGACTGCATGTACAACATGACTGTGGTATGTGATTTGCTCAGAGACGGAAAACAAAAAAATACAGGTAATACTCAAAATTCAAAGTTTCCAACCAAAATTTAATAGCAAACTGGCGTCGACACACACACACACAGTAACATCATGGCATTGCAAGTCAGTAATATGCATTTTGATACAATAAAATCACAATGTTCTGCCTCATTAGCATTTCAGCCGTGTTGAAAATGATGTGCTTTAATCTGTCACATATTTTCATCCCATAAAAACAATACATCCGTTACAATATTCACAATAAATTCTCTGCATACTAACAAACTACCACCTCTCTCTCTCTCTCTACAATCAAAATATATTTGAGCTAACAATCATGACATGGAAATCATAAGTTCATAAAACCATAATTAACATGACATGGTCCAAAATGGAATAGAGAAGTGATGAGAACACGACAAGAGACGCTTGTAGTGTTACAGTAATGTACTACAACTAGACCCCGGTGTGCAAGAGAACAGATGAGCAAGTACAGGCTAGTCCAGCAACAGGGCTGCAGATGTCACAATAATCTATCTCATCCCCTTTTATGTTCACCAGTTCAACAAACTGGTGTTGTCACAAGATGCAAAGAGTAAGCTTAACAGAAAAGATCACCTTCTTACAGACACAGTAGAAAACAGACAACTACTGGATAACAAACATACAGAATATGTTGTCTTGGATTCTATATGTGAAAATACAAAAGAACACGACATAAGCATGTTGAGGCAGTCTTGAACCATGAAAGTTGCTGAGAACAGGAGATGGTGAAAAGACAGATCATTGCACCAGGCTTCAGGCTGGCTGAACTGATGACGACGACGACGAGGAGCTAATCTTCCCATAAGGAAATAACCGAGTACGTAACCTATTAATTACAGGATTTTGATGCTGTAGTCAGTACATTTTATCTGGTGACATTGCTCCCCCCCCCCCCCCCCCAAAAAAAAACTGGATGAGTTCAAATTCTTATTTTCCAATTGCCAGTTGCCCTCAACGGGCTTAATTGATCGGTGGGCAACCTCAAGCAATATTTGTGACTCCTTCAGCCAAACAGTCCAGTTAAAATAGATGATCTCCCTGTACACATTCACAATGCAACTACACCCCAGGGTAGACAACAAACAAAACATTGCACTAGACTACAACTTGTTTAAATAGTGCAGGACAACAGAGAGACTAAATGCTGTCGCAGACACCCTACACACTCTTGTCCTTTCACTCAATGTCTTCTGTCACATTTCATGTTTAGCAAACAAATTCTGCTGCCCCAGTTCTGCAACAATGCACACATACATACAACTGCGACAACTGAACAACATAGCATTTGCCATGCACGCACACACACAGAAAATCATACGCTGCACCCACACACATGCATACGTAGATAATTTAACACCTGGCACTAGCATCAAATTAGATTTCAAAATGATGGTCATCTATAATTCATCCTTGTCTGGCAAATCTGCATCTTCAGTGTCCTCTGGTTCTTCCTCATCTTCATCTTCCTCATCCTCTTTACTAGGTTCTTCGTCTTTCTTTTTCTTCTCTTCCTCCTCTCGACTCTTTCTTTCTTCTTCTTCCTGGGCTTCTTTCATCTTCTTCTCAGCGTCCTTTGTCTTACCCCATGTCTCATTACCGAACTGTTCTGCATAGTCAACATCATCTGTGATGAGGACGTTGTCAAAGATAGTTCCAGATTTGACCTGCAAGAAAACAAACAAAGAACCTACACTAGCTGCAGACCTAATGCATGGTTACACTTAGACATTGTAAATAGATAGTCTCTCACCAAACAGATTCACCAATCAATTAGGTTTCACTAATGTCTAATAACCGATATGGTCACCACTAAATATCTGGGACTAGTGACAAGAGGCTACCCTTCCCCCAGCTGCAACCAAATAAGTGAATCAGGCACTGGCCTTGCCCCCCTGGTGCATGGCATCCTTGTTCCTATTCATTAGAACTGCTGTTCCAAGGATTTGTTTGAACACCGAAGAAATCGGAGGCCAGGGGACGTGATGAAATTCTTAACACTGCAGAAACACCTGCAGAATTAAATACTCACTGAGATGGATGGAACCAGTGTTTCTGCATTTCTGTCCTTTATATAAAAAGGTAAAGTCGGGAGATGTGAACCAGCGTCATTGCACCCGGTTATAAACCATAAGTGCTCTGCCACCAGTACGGACAGCTGATAGAATTGTCTGCCTGTGTCGCCGTTCGCAAGTAACTCTGTAGCTAAAGCGATGTTCCTCCGTTTACCCCAAAGTGTCAACTCTGGTACCCATTTCCTAGAGGCTGGGTGAACCCCAAAAACCCAGTTTCGAACACCGGCTGTGGGCTTCAGCGAGTCACAGATGGATTTGAAAGCGAGCCTCTTATCAACTGCGCTACCGTGGCCCTTTATATGCTTTAGATAAACAAAAACATTAAAATGTGGCATTGTAGCCACTAAAATATCAATGATCTGTCAAGATGGAGACTTCCCCAAAACATAACTAAGGAACTGCAGCAAAGACGAAAGAGACTACTGACTAGGTTTCACAAAGTTTAATTAATTAGGTTTAATTTACATGACAGATCAACATCATGGCACACGGGTAGTAACCCATAAATGCTGTTCTACTTCTGACTTAAATTTAAGTCTGAAGAATCTCAGCACACTGCACGAACTCCGTAGCACCAGCGAGGATCCTGAAATACTTAAGGTAGATTTTTAACTTTAAATTTTGCCTGAACAATGCTGATAGGCCACTCTTTCGATTTCAAACTGCCAATGGATTTTTTAATGTGCACAACAACACACACGGGCGACCGCTCTTACTACCCAGGGACCAGGGAAAATTACTATGAGTCCAGGTGAAAAATACCAGCCTTATTTCAGAAAGTGACAACTGCAAAGAAAGGCCAATGCCATAAAATTTACCGAAAGCGGTGTCATCCTAATGTCTTTATTATGGGGGGGGGGGGGGGTGTCTTGCTTTTATCTCTTTGACATTGTGGGTTGCAGTGCAAGAATATTATAGTTATTATACTGTTGTTCTCGTGTTTTCTCAATTTATGTCCTATCCAAAGGCGGTTTCTTAGCTTAGTCTCTTTTAATTCATCCAAATGTTAGTAATTCCCCAAAAGCTCCATATCAGTGATTTCCTCCATTTCCATTTGATTCATTCTCTACTGAGCAACTACCACTGAATCAATGACTGTAGTTTATTAGTCATCGCTTGAGTTCTCCACGTTTCAGCAGCACTGACTGATCAACAGCTACCTATTTACTGGCATATTAAGTTCAACAGCTGGTGTCTGTCTGTTAGCTAGCCAGCCAGCCTGTGCATGTTAATGCTTGTATGTACACACACACACACATATATATTTAAACATAGATGAATGGTTTATCTGAAGGGCTATATATGTTATATATGAGACATAATGTCACATACAAGCAAAAACCTACCTGCCACAAGTCAAAGCCAATAGCCCCAAAGTCAGGATAACTGTACAGGTTATCATCTTGCACATATTCTGGGTTATCAATTTCAGGGTGTACCCACTTGCCTTTGTAGTTTGGATTATCAATGAGTTTTGGCTTCCACTCTCCCTGTAAAGGTATATACAAGTCACTGAGGATTCTAGTAAACAAATGAATTCACATTACATGACAAAGTGAAGAGGAATGGCACTCCCAGCTCTACCTTGACAGACTAGGTGAGATTCAGGATGTGGACTTGAGGGATTTGTATGCACAATAGATCACAATCAGATTGTTTAACTCTGTTCCTGCAATACTGGAATGGAGATCTTAACTTCCCAGATCAGGGCAAACACACAGCGAGGACGTGCATGCGACCTCTCATCAGCCCAGATCAGGGCAACACACAGCGAGGACGTGCATGCGACCTCTCATCTGCCCAGATCAGGGTAAACACACAGCGAGGACGCGCATGCGACCTCTCATCAGCCCAGATCAGGGCAAACACACAGCGAGGACCTGCATGCGACCTCTCATCAGCCCAGATCAGGGCAACACACAGCGAGGACGTGCATGCGACCTCTCATCAGCTGCTAATGTAGATTATCAGGCACAATTAAGCCTCCCAGTTTCAGCGAGAATCTGCTGCAATAATGGGGCTATTCATGTGCAACAACAGTGATTCTTCACTCCACTAACAAGCAGTGAATGTAAACACAACTGTTAGGTAGCTGTGTTCACATTCACTCAACTAACAAACAGTGAATGTAAACACAACTGTTAGGTAGCTGTGTTCACAAATCAAAGTGGTACAAACATATCATGGCCTTGGATGAAGATAATTTGTTTCCCTTTCCTCATCTTGACTGTTATATTGTGTCAGCTTACAGAGATGCTACAGTATGAGCATATTTCAGTCTACATATCAAACTCTTTCCCACCCACTGTTTATCATGCCTGATCTATGTCCTTTCTTTATTAGCCAAATAAAATGATCTACAAACTACACCATTCTTTACTTGTATGAGATAGCAGCCAAGGTGTATATAGTTGTCATACTTATTACAGTGTGTACATACAGAACTGTCTCTGCTGTACACAATAAATAAGGTGACAGCTGTACGAACAAGACAACAGCCCTGTATAAGGCCAGCAGACAACATTCAGTCGACAAACAAGACAACAGCCCTGTATATGGCCAGCAGAAGACAACATTCAGTCGACAAACAAGACAACAGCCCTGCATATGGCCAGCAGAAGACAACATTCAGTCAACAAACAAGACAACAGCCCTGTATAAGGCCAGCAGACCGAAAACAAGACAACAGCCCTGTATAAGGCCAGCAGAAAACAACATTCAGTCAACAAACAAGACAACAGCCCTGTATAAGGCCAGCAGACTTAAAACAAGACAACAGCCCTGTATAAGGCCAGCAGACAGAAAACAAGACAACAGCCCTGTATAAGGCCAGCAAACCAAAAACAAGACAACAGCCCTGTATATGGCCAGCACAAGACAACATTCAGTCAACAAACAAGACAACAGCCCTGTATAAGGCCAGCAGACCGAAAACAAGACAACAGCCCTGTATTTGGCCAGCCGACAGACAACATTCAGTCAATAAACAAGACAACAACCCTGTATATGGCCAGCCAACATTCAGTCAATAAACAAGACAACAGCCTCTATATGGGCAGGAGACATCAGTCACCTACCTTGTATTCAGGATTGTCAATCATGGGTGGCTCCCACTCTCCGTCCATTTCATCATCCCAATCCTCGGGCTTCTTGGCATCTGGGTCAGGGATGTGTTCAGGCTTGTCCCAGTCTTCTGGTTTGGTGTCACTGGGGTCTTCAATCTTTTCACGCTCATCCCAATCATCGGGTTTTGTGGCATCGGGGTCCTGTCAATGGACATTCAATTTTAACACACAACTGACAAAAGTACTCCAGATTAACATACAACGTATTGCCTACGTCCAGCAGAAAGTGTAATTTGTTCTTCAACTGTTCCTTTAATATACAATACTGTTCAATGTATGCACTATTTAAGGTTAAAGGCAGTGTCATAACTTTCTTTCAAACTAAAACAAAACAGATTGCCTTAGACTCTCTCTCACTTATCAATTTCTATACCAGGAAATGTTAGGGGAAACAAAGGCACATATTACCTGCCTTTACTTCACTGATTATTTTATAAATATCACTTATGTTCCAGAGACTGTTTTGCCCCCATTGCTCCCTTTCCATAACTAAAGTGATAAGACAAATTAGAAACCATTTCATGTATACGAGTAGTGACTTTCATCACAACTAAAATTACTCACCTTAATCTTTTGTGGAGGCAAGAAATCCCAATCATTCTCCAGATCTCCGCTCTCAACCTTCTCACCATCAATCCTCACTTCGTAGGTGTTGTCTGGCCGTACAATCAGTGTGTACAAGTGGGTGTAGACATCATCCTGAAAGTAAACTTGTACGCTACAGCAACCCACAACAATTTCAGCCACAATTATTGTTATTACTAACCCTCTTCTACTGTACCCCAGCTTGGACAGGAAAATGGCTTACTGTGTTTACTGAGGGTGAGACTGTCACAGCCTGTCTGTTGCTTCATGTTACCAGTCACAGATCTCTAGTCTTTACTGAGGGTGAGACTGTCACAGCCTGTCTGTTGCTTCATGTTACCAGTTACAGATCTCTTGTGTTTACTGAGGGTGAGACTGTCACAGCCTGTCTGTTGCTTCATGTTACCAGTCACAGATCTCTAGTGTTTACGGAGTGTGAGACTGTCACAGCCTGTCTGTTGCTTCATGTTACCAGTCAATGATCTCTAGTATTTACTGAGGGTGAGACTACCACAGCCTGTCTGTTGCTTCATGTTACCAGTCACAGATCTCTAGTATTTACTGAGGGTGAGACTGTCACAGCCTGTCTGTTGCTTCATGTTACCAGTCACAGATCTCTAGTCTTTACTGAGGGTGAGACTGTCACAGCCTGTCTGTTGCTTCATGTTACCAGTTACAGATCTCTTGTGTTTACTGAGGGTGAGACTGTCACAGCCTGTCTGTTGCTTCATGTTACCAGTCACAGATCTCTAGTGTTTACGGAGTGTGAGACTGTCACAGCCTGTCTGTTGCTTCATGTTACCAGTCAATGATCTCTAGTATTTACTGAGGGTGAGACTACCACAGCCTGTCTGTTGCTTCATGTTACCAGTCACAGATCTCTAGTATTTACTGAGGGTGAGACTGCTACAGCCTGTCTGTTGCTTCATGTTACCAGTCACAGATCTCTAGTGTTTACTGAGGGTGACACAATCTCAAACACTAAACTACTTCAAGCCACAAACCAAGAAACTTTAGACAGAATGATTACCAAGAGAAGATGAAAATGGCTTGGCCACGTTATGAAAATGAATCCTGATATACCTGCCGAAACAGCTCTCACATGGACACCAGAGGGAAAGAGAAAACAGGGGCGCCCAAAAACAACATGGAGACGAACGATGGAAAGTGACCTGAGTGCGGCATCTTTGACATGGAAAACTGCACAGAAAATTTCATAGGACAGGAAAGCATGGAAAGTCCTCTCTGAAGCCTCATAAGCCCCTAGGCATAACGAGAACTGATGATGATGATGAGACTGTCACAGCCTGTCTGTTGCTTCATGTTACCAGTCACAGATCTCTAGTATTTACTGAGGGTGAGACTGCTACAGCCTGTCTGTTGCTTCATGTTACCAGTCACAGATCTCTAGTGTTTACTGAGTGTGAGACTGTCACAGCCTGTCTGTTGCTTCATGTTACGAGTCACAGATCTCTTGTGTTTACTGAGGGTGAGACTGACACAGCCTGTCTGTTGCTTCATGTTACCAGTCACAGATCTCTACGGTTCCTGCTCACCTTTAACTGTTGCCTAGCAAGCAGCTTAATGTGGTCAGTAACAAGGCAAACTTCACTGGAGCGATTTACGGCTGTGTTTAGGTTAATTAATCACACATAACTGCATTTTCATCTATGCTACTGAACTGTCTGCAAAATCAAAACCATGTCAAAATTTAATTGTACTATATTTTTTTTTCAACTGGTACACAAATTTGTGGCAAGACGTGGTAATGTTGTCACACCTGCTTGCCAGCCTGGGGTTTGAATCCCCATAGAGGCAGATTTCTAGTAAAACTGACTTTCCTTCCTCTCACCGAGCTCCAGACTTGACGCAGCAAAAACTGGCACCAGGCAATAATGTGAAATATAAAGTTGACCAGGACATTGACCACTTATTTATACAAACACAAAGCTGGCACTAAACTTCCACTGTGCCCAAAACATGTGAGGCAACAAGGGTCTTTCTGTTTGAACTTCTGCAGAGACAGAGAAAAACAAGCAGTTCATCAGAATTACCTTGCAACGAATGTCCTTCTTGATTAACAAATTCTTGCCCTTGTAGTTAAAGATGACATGCACCTTTTTGGTTCCTGGTCCGCAAATGTCTGGACCTGTGAGCAGTGACACAAAAAGAGGGACAACTTGAGCATTGCAACAGTCAGGACAGATCTAGCAAACAAACCATGCACAATAAACAACTACTAAATACAATTACAATCATTCTGAACCTCATAGTTCTAGTTTACCTTCCTCTCCATGCTCAATGCTTTAACTACAGTTGAAAGTTCTGGTTGCTCGTCCATTTCTGGAACTGAGTCTTGTTCCAGAACCTGAGTTTTTGTGTGCAGATCTGTTTTACAGACTTCAAAGGAAAGCCCTAATTAACTGACTTGTGAGGGTCAGTGGATCTATTCATGTTTATTTCACCCACAATGGGAGCCAAGAACCAATCAATGCTGGCAGTTCTAGTTAACCATCCTTCAATTTAAAATTAATTATCTCTGTGTGGGTTCCGGGGCCCTATTATAGGGAAAACAAGAATGCAGATACTGCCTACCCAAAAGCATGTCTTAAGAGTCGACTAAATGGGAGCTTCCTTCGAAATTTGAGTGCATCTGCCTGAGAGACAAGGAACCAGCAGTCTGCATTCAAATGTGTCAGATCTGTAAAATGGATGCACATGCAACACTCAGGTTCTGGAACAGGACTGCAGTCTAGAAATGGATGAACAACCAGACCTTTCCGCCAAAGTTTACAGCTGGTGAATGAGAAGAAGAAGAAAATCAATAAGGGGGAGTGGGATAAGCCTGATAATATAGGCATAATGTAAATTAAAATTCCTCACATGTTTTAATCATATACAAAAAAAGTAGTGTGGTGAAAACATGAAAAAACATACCAAACATAATGTTATATGGTGTATCTCCATGCATGTCCAATTGGTCAAGGCTGCTGGGGAAGAGTTTCACATAGCCACCGCCACAGTCGATGTTTTGTTCGTGCTTGACTGTGTACTGAATGACCAGTGTTTTGCCTTCATTGCTGAATTTGTCAAATCTGGCAGACAAGGCATAAAACCTGGCATCTTGAGATGTCTGAATTCCTGAGAAGCAAGACAGGAAACAAGACACAATTATTAATTAAAGCAAATGTGTTAGCAAATGACAATTTAAATAAAACTGAATTTTGGTGAAAGATATGCCTTTTCTCATTTTCATATTGTGCTACATGTTCTTGCCTTGACGTGTTCATTCTGATTCCTGCTTTAGATATAAACTTAAATTTTGTAAGCTTACTGAGGTGGCAGTGTGTAGTTTTGGCTGGCTAACCTGAATTCACAGTGAGAGAATGTCAGCGGCAAGTAGTTTTCTTGCAACTAGATTGTATCACAACCATGAAGAAAATTTTCTTGAAATCCGTACAAAAGTGCAGCTATTCTCTGTGGTCAAGCCGTACAGGTACTCTCTGTGGTCAAGCCGTATAGGTATTCTGTAGTCCAGCAGTACAGGTACTCTGTGGCTGAGCCATACAGGTATTTTGTGGTCAACCCGTACAAGTATTCTCTGTGGTCAACCCGTACAAGTATTCTCTGTGGTCAACCCGTACAAGTATTCTCTGTGGTCAACCCGTACAAGTATTCTCTGTGGTCAACCCGTACAAGTATTCTCTGTGGTCAACCCGTACAAGTATTCTCTGTGGTCAACCCGTACAAGTATTCTCCGCGGTTAACGCCTGCAGGTATTCTGTAGCTGAGCCATACAGGTATTCTGTAGCTGAGCCATACAGGTATTCTGTGTTGAGCCATACAGGTATTTTGTAGCTGAGCCATACAAGTAAACTCTGTGACAAAGTGGTCAAGCCAATCTGTGAATGGCATGGGTTCTTTGGACTCATCTGGCTTACAGGTAGAACCATTTCTGAGAAACAGCTAAGATATACCATCAACATGTCAACTGATTTCACTGAGATTTTCTCACCACCTAAAGCTCATGATATCAGATCTTTAAAATAATTCAGATTTGGGGTTAATAAAAATGCAGCATATCATAAGCAGCCCCAAAAACCTATAACGAAACAACAGATTTTATCAGCTCCTGCACCTGTGTAAAACTGCAACAGAATGATAATGATTGGTGTCCCACTTATTTCATGGTTACAGTGTGGAGACAACAGGATCCAAATTTATCAAATCTCATACTTGCCTTTATCTTTTTCCGCATCTCCATAAAATTTGCCAGCTGTCCAAACAAATTTGCCTAAATCAGGCTTGTGTTTAGAGGTGACCCATCTCTGTTCCCAGTCATCTGAAACACAAGAATACAGGCATGCATTACTTTCACCTAGGCCAGCAGTATGATACAAACAACACTTGACCTTAGCACTGACACAGGAAAAATGGTTCAACATTACAGTGTTGCTTCCACTGCTGACTTCATAAATCTACCGGATAGGGGAAACTTTCAAACACAAGAGTGTCACTTCCACTGCTGACCGTTCATAAATCTACAGACTTTTAAGCACTTCTTCCTTTTTCACGTTCACCGTCTGTAAACTTCAGCAAAAAGTTCTGGTTGTTTGTCCATTTTTGGTCTCTGATCTTGTCCTAGAGCCTGAGCTTACAGATCTGACTTATCTGTAAGCAGACTGCTGGTTCCTTGCCTCTCAGGTAGATGCAGACTGCTGGTTCCTTGCCTCTCAGGTAGATGCAGACTGCTGGTTCCTTGCCTCTCAGGTAGATGCAGACTGCTGGTTCCTTGCCTCTCAGGTAGATGCAGACTGCTGGTTCCTTGCCTCTCAGGTAGATGCAGACTGCTGGTTCCTTGCCTCTCAGGTAGATGCAGACTGCTGGTTCCTTGCCTCTCAGGTAGATGCAGACTGCTGGTTCCTTGCCTCTCAGGTAGATGCAGACTGCTGGTTCCTTGCCTCTCAGGTAGATGCAGACTGCTGGTTCCTTGCCTCTCAGGTAGATGCAGACTGCTGGTTCCTTGCCTCTCAGGTAGATGCAGACTGCTGGTTCCTTGCCTCTCAGGTAGATGCACTCCGTCTTTGAACGACACACCCCTAATTAGCCCACATTTACGACAAGCTTATTGGGGGCAGTGGGTCTGCTCTATTCTGTTCCCTCCAACACGTGGCCACCGAACCCACACGGGGAATACTCCACTTATAGCCCAGCAGGTTCAGTGGGATATTTTTGTGAAAACTACCACCACCAACACCCGAGGATCTAGCCAACACTCCTCCCCTCCTCCCAGAACTACCACCATCTACTGAGGATCTAGCCAACACCCCATCCCCCAGAACTACCACCGCCACCTACTGAGGATCTAGCCAACACCCCATCCCCCAGAACTACCACCGCCACCTACTGAGGATCTAGCCAACACCCCATCCCCCAGAACAACCACCACCCCCACCTACTGAGGATCTAGCCAACACCCCATCCCCCAGAACAACCACCACCACCACCTACTGAGGATCTAGCCAACACCCCATCCCCCAGAACTACCACCACCTACTGAGGATCTAGCCAACACCCCATCCCCCAGAACTACCACCACCACCTACTGAGGATCTAGCCAACACCCCATCCCCCAGAACAACCACCACCACCACCTACTGAGGATCTAGCCAACACCCCATCCCCCAGAACTACCACCACCTACTGAGGATCTAGCCAACACCCCATCCCCCAGAACTACCACCACCACCACCTACTGAGGATCTAGCCAACACCCCATCCCCCAGAACTACCACCACCACCACCTAATGAGGATCTAGCAAACACCCCATCCCCCAGAACTACCACCACCACCACCTACTGAGGATCTAGCCAACACCCCATCCCCCAGAACTACCACCACCACCACCTACTGAGGATCTAGCCAACACCCCATCCCCCAGAACTACCACCACCACCACCTACTGAGGATCTAGCCAACACCCCATCCCCCAGAACTACCACCACCACCACCTACTGAGGATCTAGCCAACACACTCTTCCCACAGAACTACCACAAGGATTTCCCTATTTGGCGCTATACTGATAACCTCACATAAATAAATGTACATGTGTTCATTAAATGATATATGCTAAACTAATACCTTCAGTGATATTCCTGGCGTTGAAATATTTAGTCTATCACATCATCCCGTCATGCACACAGAACAGCAGGCTATTCCAGGTTAGTACTTGCTGCAGTTGTCTTAACTTAGGATGTTTGACTGACAGAGTATCTAGGATGTGCTCTGTTGCACTGACAGCCAGGATACAACTTGTTAAGTCACCCTGTTGTACTGATATCCAGGATACCTGTTAAGTTACCCTGTTGCACTGACATCCAGGTTACACCTGTTAAGTAAGTCACCCTGTTGCCCTGATATCCAGAGTACCTGTTAAGTCACCCTGTTGCCCTGATATCCAGGTTACACCTGTTAAGTAAGTCACCCTGTTGTTAAGACTGCTATCCAAGATACTAGTTCTGAATCGAACCTTTATTGGGTAGCAGTCCAGAAGAGAGAAGAATCACTTATCAATCACTATCACTGACTCTACTCACCATCATGGTGATCAAATAAGCATTTCTGTTTATGAATAAACTATTCAAATTCATTGACTGATTAAACAGATGCACTAAGGATAGAGGACACACTGCTGGCAGGTAAGGAACTGGAAGGTGGGAAACGAAGGTGCAGAAAACTTGAAAGCTTATAACAGTTCTAGCTGATGTGAAGGACATGGACATATTAAAAGTACTGGCTATAGATGGATCCTCCAAACCGGGCAAATTTTTCCTCTTGACTGACGAGGTATTCCGGCCATGTCAAACTGGAGTCAATCATCCAAAGCATCAGACATGAAGATAATTGAACTGGACAGCATTTTCTAGCCATTTTTACATCAGCTCCTGTCCTAAACCAGAAACCAGACATGGTCTAGACCAGAAGTTTCAAACGTAAGAAAGACCGACATCTAACTACTACTACATGTAATTTATTGAAGCTAGAAGTAGAAAAAAAAAACTTACCATCGTCGAACTGCTCCTTGAAATAAACTGTTGGGTCGGCAAATGCAACACCTAGCAATAGAACTGCTATAAAAGCTCTCATTTTACTGATTTTTCTCGACTTGCGAGTTGATTTCACTTACAAACTGGTGATAAAACAAGAAACGGTTTGAAGTCGTGGACAGAACGGCCGCCAACTTGTGCCGGATAAATAGCGCTGCAGACTTGGCCGGCGATCACGTGACCTCGACAGTTGTCTCTCACTGATTGGTCTCCGTAAACGTATCCACCAATGGCTGGCGACCACGCACCGGGACCTGGGAGAGCCCGCGTGTTGGCTTCCGACGGAAGACGCGAGGGGCTGACGAGGGCGGGGATCAATTCGGGGGTTTTCGAGGGTTCATCATCATCATCATCGTCGTCATCGTGTCGTCTCCGCATTGAAGGCTGACAGAAATGAGAACCAGACGGGGTCTGATAGGCGGATCATCAATAAATCACCATCGTTATCATCACAAGGTGTTATTTCCGCATAGAAGGAAATGAGAACCTTATGATGCGAAGGTCATCGATAAAGCATCAGTTTAATTAATACTACAAAGTTTCATCTCTAAAGGTTTAGTGAAACGCGACTCCGTTCTCTCTGCTCTGTGTCTCTCCGTGCAGATTTCTTTCAGTCTTGGTTGTTAGCGTAACGTTGTTTCACTCCAGTACACTTTCCGTCTCAGGGGTATCGGATTGGGGTTCTGTCACAAGACAGTACATGTTCCGTCTCAAGGGTAGTGGATTTGGGGTCCTACCACAAGACTACTCCAGTACACTTTCCGTCTCAAGGGTAGTGGATTTGGGGTCCTACCACAAGACTACTCCAGTACACTTTCCGTCTCAAGGGTAGTGGGATTGGGTCCTGCCTCAAAACTATTTTATCTCGGCATTGTAGACAGGCTATGATGAGTGTATAGCTTGACGTGTCTTGTATCTTGATGGTGTATTTATTTAGACTTCTTCAAATTGACGTACTGATTCCTTTTTTTAACGTACATCGTGTACATTCCTGATTCCTTCCTTTTTTTAACGTACATCGTGTACATTCCGGATTCTTTTTTTTTTATCGTTCATCGTGTACATTCCTGATTCCTTTTTTTTTAACGTACATCGTGTACATTCCTGATTCCTTCCTTTTTTTACCGTACATCGTGTACATTCCGGATTCTTTTTTTTTAAACGTACATCGTGTACATTCCTGATTCCTTCCTTTTTTTAACGTACATCGTGTACATTCCGGATTCTTTTTTTTTAACGTACATCGTGTAGATTCCTTGTGTGCACAACTCCCCCCCCCCTTCTCTCTCTCTCTCTCTCACTCTCTCTCTCTCTCTCTCTCTCTCTCTCTCTCTCTCTCTCTCTCTCTCTCTGTGTGTGTGTGTGTGTGTGTTAAATATGAGAGGCTCGCACTTTATTAATGTTTTTGTTCTATCAAAGGTCTAGTACCTCTATCGGAGGGTCGATAATATGACCATCATATACAACTCTTCAACGAAAGACTACACGTATAATCGAAATAAAATACAGCACCAAAACTCCATGCGCTGTAGCAGAAACCAACTACTGAAACTAGCTCGGCACAGGCTGTAGACATTGAAATGAAGTTATCTCAGCACATTTTGAGCGAAAATAATTAGGCTGAAATACTCTATCGGAGCTTTCAGTAAAAAAAATACATCAAGCCTATGGTTAATCTCTTGAAGAACAAAGAGCACAATAGAAGCCAAATAAATAGTTCCGCCAACTTGTTTACATGGCAGATCTGAGAAAATCTGGCTCTCTGAGCAATTATCTGAGATATTTCACACACACGCTCCTAACTAATGAGCACTTTATATCCTTCTTCTTCTTCTTCTTCAAAGCGTTCACTTCTGGACTTTAGTCTTGTCTCCAAACTTGAATGTTGCTTCCATATCCGTTTTACAGATGTGGCTTATTTGTATGCAGACTGCAGGTTCCTCGTCTCTCAAGCAGATGCAGTTTGACTTCGCAGGAAAATAATTATTAATTAGTGGCCTTTTACGACATGCTGATTGGGGCCAGTGGGTCTATGTCCCCATCTCCACCCTCACCGCACCTCCAAAATAGGGCACCGGAACCCAGACGTGGAATATCCCAATTACAACCCTAAGAGTTAAACGGGATATTCGTGTGATTACTACCACTACCAGTCAGCGACTGTGGCTTAGGCGTTGCGAACACGCTTCGTAATACCGGGATGCCGAGTTCCGATTCCAACAGTGGTACCGAGAACCGACCGTCTAGAGAGCAATGACAAACTACTGAACGTAAAATTTACCTTTAAAAGCCACAACAGCAAAACAAAACACTAGGGTTGGTTCTACAACGTCCTGTAAAAGATAAGCAACTAACTAACTAACTAATACCACCACCCACTGTCTGCAAAGGAAAATCATTAATTATCCCACATATAGTGATAAAATAATATTATGCAAGGATTGTGGGAGATCATGAAAACTTTGGAATCACACGACGAGAGCTTTATTTCTATCGGAACGCAAATAACAATGTTATGCCTTTTTGTCTCCAGCGCTACTGTAATAATTTCTGGTGAGCACTGGTATTTTTTTTAGGACACTTGGTGATGAATACCGGCACCTTTTTTTTTTTTTTAAAGCTCTACATACGACATTTAATAGCGGACATTTTCTCCATTTTAGGAGCGTCTGATGGAGCAATTAGAATTTTTTTTATCAGAAGGAACAATAGATTTCTGGCCTGCATGGTTAGTTAGACTCTGCCATCCTTCGGCTTCAACTCAAGCTGAAATGATCCCTTTTGACTTGAAGCGAATAACAGAGAGCTTTCCATCCATTTACACAAATGAGTTTAAATGAATTGGTATACTGTACCTTTCATTTTTTTCCCATCTAACTGCTTTTGTATTTACGTATTTTAGTATTAATTAAGCATTTTTTTAAATACGACCCACCAATGTATAAGATGCCAGTAACATCAGGACTTTTGGGATGGGAGCTGATTACTAATCATTCTTCGTTTATTTCTGTTGGCAAATTTCTGACGTTTGGTATACGTCCTGTGTTGTATACGTCCCGTGTTGTATACGTCCCGTGTTGTATACGTCCTGTGTTATATACGTCCTGTGTTGTATACGTCCCGTGTTGTATACGTCCCGTGTTGTATACGTCCTGTGTTATATACGTCCTGTGTTGTATACGTCCTGTGTTCTATACGTCCTGTGTTGTATACGTCCGGTGTTGTATACGTCCCGTGTTGTATACGTCCTGTGTTATATACGTCCCGTGTTGTATACGTCCTGTGTTATATACGTCCTGTGTTCTATACGCCCTGTGTTGTATACGTCCCGTGTTGTATACGTCCCGTGTTGCATACGTCCCGTGTCGCATACGTCCCGTGTCGCATAAGTCCCGTGTTGTATACGTCCCGTGTTGCAGAAGTCCCGTGTTGTATACGTCCCGTGTTGCACAATTCCCATGTTGTATACGTCCCGTGTTGCATAAGTCCCGTGTTGTATACGTCCCAGGATCGGGAATGGATGTCCGAGGATCGGGAATGGATGTCCCAGGATCGGGAATGGATTAAGCACGTATATCAAGGCACCTGATGATGATGATGATCAAGGCACTTGATGATGATGATGGATCAAGGCACCTGATGATGATGATCAAGGCACCTGATGATGATGATCAAGGCACCCCCGTATATGGCACGGAGCTGCGTGGTCTCAGGGCATGGTGTCCGCCTCGAGTGGTGGAGGTTCCTGGTTCAACCCCTGGCAAGAGCTGATAGTTTTTAACGTGTACTTTGACTTCTAGTAATTTCCCCCCCTCCCCCACCCCCGGTCTCTTGGTAGTGAGATCGCACACCCGTGCGCATTATTTCGCACGTACAAAATCCCTTGGCAGTTGGAAATCGAAAAGAGTAACCTAACGGTGCGGCCTGAGCAAAATTTGGAGTTAGACAGCGCTGAGCTTATTCGGACTAAGTCTTGAACGGAGCACTTATGGGCTACTACCCGTGTGCCATGATGTTGATCCGTTGTCCAAACCTCAAACCTCAACCTGTATATGGCAATCTTCTTCTTCAGCGATCTCTGGTCATGCGCATAAACTGGGATGTCTTTTCAAGGTCTCTTAGGTTTCCCCAAAGCTTAGTTGTCAGTTCTACTGGGTGTTGCCATATGTCGCTCCGCAGCTCCGCCAGGAGAGGACAGTCTTGCAGGACGTTCTGGAGTCTGTTCAGCACGAAGGCACTGGCAGAGAGCTGTTTGTTTGGCTCATACCTAATTTATGTGAGTGTTTATTGAGTCTGCAGTGTCCAGTGCGTAAGCGAAAAACTGTGACTTGGTCTATTCTGTTCAAGTGTTTCAGAAAATCTTTTTCGTAGTTATAACCAGTGTTGGTTTTCTGGAAAAGATGGTTTGTTACTGCCTTCCTTGGCTAAAGCATCTGCGCTTTCATTGCCTTTGATGCCACAGTGAGACGGAATCCACTGCAAGTGAATTTCTGCCTTATTTGACAACATAGCAAGTTCCTGTGTTAGACTTTGTAGTGTGCTGTCGGTAGGTTTGGACTCAAGGGCCTGTATAGCTGACAGTGAGTCGGTGAGAAAAACTATCCTGCCTGCGGTGATTTGCAGATTGTTCATATACTGTGCTGCCATCAATAGGACTGAGAGTTCTGCCTTGTAGTTAGAGCGTATATGGCAATGAAATTGCAGACAAGCGGGAAAAGGTCAATCCAACAATAATAGTTGATAGGAACAGCAGAGACGTCTAGGAGAAGCTACTGCATCGGAAGACTGAGCACGCATGGGAATACCCATTGTGCAGTGACGTACACTGTAATAAAACAACATAACATAATATTAATGCTTCATATAAACATGAGTATAGATATTATTTAATCATAGGTAACGAAAAACATAAAAGGCAAATGTGCATCAATGTGGAATCAACGTTTGAGGGACAGACGTGCATATAAATTGATAAATAATTCTATAAGATAACTTTAGATAACAGACGAACTTAGAACCCCATGAATAGGAAATTGCTGA